AATCGGTTGACACAATTAAATCGCCTTTCGTCTATTTTTGGTGATCGTTAATGTTAACAAACCATGCCTCTATAATCATTCTTCGCTAATGACACATCATAAGGAACTATACCATCTCGTTGTCCAAGTAAATAAGCCATAGGAGGGCATATGGCCCGTCCCCATCAGACATTAATCTCCCTCCACCAATTGCCCAGGTATAAAAGTGTTGAATCTCAGATTTTGATGATGAAATTAATTGATAAATTAATTATTTAATCCATGTGTTGAGATAAATGATGTAGGACTAACTACGTAGAAAAAGGCAAAACAATTATGGAAGAATCATACGTTAGCCTGGAGTCAATTGTTGAATCTTGGATTTTGATGATGAAACCAATTAATAGTGTTTATGATTTAATCTATGTTTTGAGTGACGCAAGATGCTTTGATCAAGGAGAGACAATTAAAGCGGGAAGAATCATGCTGGGCCGGAGAAAAACATGTCAAAAGATTGGATGTCAAGCCGAAGGATCGGTCGAAGTATCGATAGAGGGCTTCGGGCCATGAGTTCAACTGGCCGATTAGGCAATATGCCACAATAGAGGATGATGCGCTGAACAATTAGACGATGCGTCGATGAACCAATGACATACCGGACAATATCTTATTAGCTTAGTATTAATTGTCTAGATCGAAGTAGGTTTTATGTGTGCAGGATTAACTACGATAGCAAGGCATAAATCAAAGTGAAGTCTCGGAGTCAAGGACGCAATTTCGTTGGGAGTTCGAGAGTTCGTCGGAAGTTTAGACGTTCGTCGAAAGTTCTGCCGGAATTAACCGAGAAGTCCAGGAGCTTACCAAAGAAGCTCATCAGAACTCGCCAAGAAGATCATCGTGAAGTCCAGGAGCTTGTCGGGAGTCCGCTAGAACATTACTGAGAGATCATCGGAAGCTCGTCGGAAGAAACCTAGACTTACAGACTTGTTTAGCTTAGTAATTATCTTAGATTTTGTAGTTAGCACATAATTGAGATTAAAATTGGGCCAACCTAATTAGGGGCCAGTTGGGCCCATGTATGGACTGTGTTGGGCCCAATGAAAGGCCCAAACAGTGACCCAACAAGTGGCACCATCATGGCACAGTCTCCAAGACTATGTCAGGTGGTGGTACTGCCACCACCAAGACACAGTCTTCCAGGTGGTGGTACCACCTATTGTTAGTGTTGTAGGCGATGGTACCGCCAGGACCCGGGAAACCCGAGATGAGACCTTTTTAGGCTCCATGTTTGAATCAACTTGAAGCTTATAAATACCCCTCTCATCCTTGGTTAAACTACACAAGTATTGAGAGTGAAAAAAGAAAGAAACGTTATTGCAATCTTGTGTGAACTCCTCTCCTTCTAAATGTTAGAATAGTTTGAGAGAGGAGTAAGTCGGGGTGTAAGGGTTATCTCCTAAACCCGGTAAAAGGAGAAAGAGCTGTAAAAGGTGATTGGTCTTCGCCTATTGAATGAAGACCGATAGTGGATGCCGGTGGCCTCGACGGAGGAGGAATCGGGAGTGGATGTAGGTCACGACGATTGAACCACTATAAACTCGGTTTGCATTTACTTTGAGCAATTTACTTTTATAACAAACTGTCTCTCCTCCTTACTGTGCTTTTACTATGCCTACACTTGTATACACTTTTAAGTATACATTTTCGAGATCGGGTTTTATAGCAAGAAGTTTTTTCTTAAACCGACGTTTTTACCGCTGCACTAATTCACCCCCCCTCCTCTTAGTGCCGAGTTGTTCCTAACATCAACATGCCATAGGATTGGGCGATACGCCGAATATCTAAACGATGTGCTAGAAGTTCACCGGAAGCTCGTTGAGAGTTCACCGGAAGTGCGCCGGAAGTTTCACCAGGAGTTCAGATGAAAATTGACATGCTGGACAACTAGATTGCTTGATTGTAATTATTTTAGCCTTAATTGATGTAGTTATGTCTTAATTTGAGTTAGGTTTGGGAAAAATCTTACTAACTTAGTTAGGGGCCAATTGGGCCCAAATTATGACTCAATTGGGCCTATTGTGTGGCCCATTCAGTGACCCAAAGCCACGTCAGGCAGTGGCACCACTAGGGCCGATGGTGGCACCGCTTGAGACTTGGCCTCTTAAGTGGTTTGGGCGGTAGTACCATCAATCATAAATAGCTATCAGGTAGTGGTACCACCAAAGCCTAGTCTTTGAGACTCTATCAAGTAGTGGTACCATCAGATTAGGCGATGGTACCGCCCAGTATCAGAGTGTCAGGTGATAGTACCGCCTAGTACTAGCGGTGGTACCGCCAATATTCGAAAACTCTGGATGAGACACTTTTTGGCTCCATTTTTTAAGTCATTGGAGCCTATAAATACCTCACTCTTTCTTGCATGAAAGAGTAACAAAGTGTGAACAAAACTCTTGAAGTGTTGGGGTATGAAAGTGTTGCAAAAGTGTTAAGTGTCCTCCTTCTCTTTCTTTAGATTTGTAATCATTCTAAGAGAGGTGTGAGGTTTGTAAGGGTTATCTCCTAAACCCGAAAAAAGAGAAAGTGTTGTAAGAAAGTGGTTGGTCTTCGCCTATTAAAGGAAGACCGTTAGTGGATGTGTATGGCCTTAACGAGGAAATGAGAGTGGATGTAGGTCACGACGGTCGAACCACTATAAAACTCAGTTTGTATTTACTTTAAGCTCTTTACTTTCATTGCAAACTGCTTTATTTACTACTTTCACTACGCTTACGAATGTGCACTCTAAGTCAAGCTCATTTCCGATACCAACTTTTATCGAACGAGATTTTTGAATCGACGTAAAGTTTTACGATAACACTAATTCACCCCCCCCCCCCCCCCCTCCTTAGTGTCGACTTGATCCTAACAAAAATTTGGTCCCCAACGCTAGAAGAAAGGACTAGAGTCAAGATTTAGAGTATTCATACTCTCACTTATATTAACTGTACCATGGAAGAGATCGAGTCAGGAACTTCCTCGGACACTAATCGTTTATACAGGATTCCCAACGAAGCCAAGGCGCACCTTGGCTCATCTCCAAGACTCTTAGGAGGTCCAGACTATCTCGTCTCAACTTGGGATCCATCTCAAACTTACAAAACAACACCTCGAGAATTATTTCAACCTGACCATCCCAAGCTCTAACTCACCCCATAGAATTATCAAGTAAGCCATTTGGACGAGCTTATGCCTTCGAAATAGAATCTAGCCATATCAATTCTCGATCGACGACATCAAGACAATAATAAATAGTTTTATCTATAATTACTTAAGCTTAATCGTAGTTTTCGTGCATTCATATTGATGTCCTCTTTGATAATTAACATGCTATCAATTGATGAAATTAAATTAATATATTTTTGCCTTGTTGATATCATGCATGGTTAGATCACAATAGAGGAATAAGAGATAGATGATAGATTATGGTTCATGCGTTTGAATGATTTCTTCTTATTTTTATATTCCTCCAAGAGAACCATTCACTTTATAAAAGATCCTAAAAAAATATTGTAACAAAATAATCTCTTATTCTTTTGTTATTGCCGTTTCTTCACGATAAATGACCATAAATATTATAAGCGTTTCCAAAACATTTAGACATAAATTTAATATAAAATAAAATAAAAATAAAAAATTTATAATGATTTATCATAAAATATATAAGACCTTCATAATTTTCATCCAATATCATTCAAATTCTCAAATAAATTGTTTTATAATAATATCTCGAAACTTATAGTAAAATTGATAGCTAAGGTCCCGAGAGCTTTATAATTTTCGAGAGCTTTATAATATCTCGAAACATATAGTAACCTTCCAAACACATAAATTGATTAGGACTATAGTATTTTGATTCAGTGATAAAATTATTTAAGTTCGTTCTAAACATTGCAACTGGGAATGTCTATATTTTATTATAATTTTTTCAATAAATAAAAATTTAATTATTATATATATATTTAAATATATATATATATATATATCTAAATTTAAGATTATGTTAAAAATGATTTGTCACCATTAATATATAAAAATATTCATATTTTTTTTTTGTACAAAATCACTTAAAAACTCTCAAAGAAAATATTTCATGAAATCTGAAGCATATAATAAAATTAATGTCTATAAAAATTTAAATTAATTAGTAACAAAAAAATTAACATTTATAAAAATATTATAACAGATCTGTATAATTGATTTGATTCAATACATTTGTTTGATCTAATTGAGTTTCGACATTCTCTTGTTAGTAAGAGTTTTTTTATCGTTCAAAAAAAAATTAAGATTCTCTTTAAGTATTTCGAAAATTTTGTACCGGTGAATAATCAAAAAATTAAAAGATGATTTTCTTAGAAAATATTCATATTTTGAATATTTTTCAATCGGTATCCTTCATTTTGCTTTATACATATAATACCTAAATTGTCCCTCAAATTTTTTCCGTTATTTCAGTTTATTATAATGTTTTGATCATTATAACAAAAATATTATAGTCTATTTAAAAATATTATAAATAATTTAAATAGACTTCTAATCTCGATCAAATTAATTATAAACTTAAAAATATGATATTATAATAATCAATCAACAATAACAATTAAAGAGGTACAATATGAATTCACTTGTAGTTATTTTTCAAACATTTATAATAATTTTAGTGCATTAAATAAAAAATATTATTAAAATTTATTATAATATTTTTAGTATATTAATAAAATACTATAATACTATTGAAAAATAAAATATTATATTAGTTAAAAATGATTAAAAAGACAAAAAAAATTGAAAAAAACTTTTGAGTGATATTTTAGATTTTTTTTAAAATTAAAAATATTGTTTGGAAAAAAAAAAGGGGGGCAAAAGGGAAGAGAAAAATACCTAAAAAATAAGTATTTTATAGGAAAATCGTCTAAACTTAAAAATGTTTATCAAAATACAGATAAATAAAGAATAAATTGTATATTCAAATCAGGGGTACTTTGGTGAAATGAAATCTGACCGCAATTCGTCCAGATCTTGACACAGCTCGTCTTCTCCCCTCTGCCTGTTGTGGTTTCGCCAAAGCATGGCTTCCTCTTCGTCGTCGCCGTCGTCGAAGGGATGGACGAGCGCCAAAGTCTCCCGCATCGCCTCTCGCGTCTACTTCGTCCTCATTATCTTTCAAATCCCTCTTTTCAGGTAATCTGATCTTCCTTCCCCCTTCAAGAAAGAAACTCTTACATTTAAGATCCAAATCGCCGCTCGAGTTTTGCTCTGATTGCATATCATCCGCTCCGATCGTGAGTTTTTATCGTATCGTTGATCATTCCTAATATTACTTCCCCTTCTCATAGCGTGCTCCCATCTTCCGTCGTTTCTGGTCATTTACCTCCCGCGATTTCAGAAACGGGTCGGCCACTTGATCTAATTCTGGAACACATCTTATTGTCCGTCACGTCCCAACAACAATTCCTACTGCTCATGCTATTCGTATTTGGTACGGCCGACTCTTTCCAATCACCAAGAATGCCAGACCAACTAGATGAGCTAGATATTATCAATTTTGTCACCTGAAACCACATAATTCTGTCTGCGGTTCTGCCACTCGGCATCTATTTCTGTTTGACCTCTGAAACAGAATGATCAGAGTTGTATTTTGAGGAATCAAGAGATGCAAGTAGCCTAGTGTTGTTACTTTTTCTTGACCTATTCTGATGCTACTTAACTTTGATCACAACAAGTCAGCACATGGACTATGCTTTCAGGGACTCTAATAGCAATTAAGCATATGCTGTAGTATGAGAAGTAGAGCCTGCCGTGCTAATTTATATGGAGACATAAGCATGGTTGATGAACACAGAACATCTTCCTTCTGTACCTTTTGAGTAGTACAAAAGATTTCTCAAGGATACTCAGAAAATAAGATTTGGTGTCCCTCGAACAAGTCTACAGTGCTCCTACTCGACGCCATTCCATGTTTGGCCACCTAAAAACGGTCCTCGAGGGCAAGTCTTATAATGGAAAATCTGCATAATTTAGTCACTCTTGATTAATTGTTAAGATGTTTCATCTCACTTTGCCTTCTGGAACATCCTTGCATTCTTGACTAACCAAGGTAAAATTAATAAGGTCTTGGCCAGGCATATTAGTTTGTGTGTGCTGCTTGTTTTTGTCCTAATAATTGAGATCAAATATGGCAAAAACAGAGTCTAATTCAGTTACTTAATATGAATCTACAATAATGCTCCTCTAGGCCTAAATTTACTCGTGGAACATAAAACTCAGATGCCCTAACAAAAAAAAAAAGAGAGAACTACGCATGGCTAGTTTGAAAAATTATCGAGGGTCATAATTTGAATAATGTATCTGAACAAAATTCTGATGCTGACTGAGATCTAATTTGGCTCAACTGTTTAATAATAGTAGTTCTCTTCTTGCACTGGTAGTTATCTATTTTATTCCTCTTATCTCCCTCATTTTACTTAGAAATCTATTCTAAGAACTGTAAACTTGTGACGTATGCAAATAAATTTTGCTCCTGGTGTGAAATTATGCCATGTGTTTGATTTTTGTTGCGGAGAGCCATTCGGAGACTAGGCATATGAGAAAGTTAATAGGATTCTGATGCTGATATTTAGATTTGGCTGAACTGACTGAGAAAAGATTATTGTCTTCTTGCACCACTGGTTGTTCTCTATCTGTGATATCCTTCTGTTTGCATAATAAAATAATGCATAGAACTGTAATGTCCATGTATGCAAATGAATTCTTGGCCTACTGTGAATTTTGCCATGTGTATTTGATTAACTCAAGCTTGTACTGAATGAATCCTGTAGCAACTTCCAGGAAATGTGCTATAACTAAAATTCATCTCTTCAATATGTTCAATCTTTTGTGATTAGGTGACCTATAAGTTTTTTCTTCATTCTTGAAATGTTGTGCCTTTGGTGCCTTTGCTTGTCTGTGTCATCTTTTACATCACATCCTGTCATATACGTGATTTAGGAATTTGATAATACTTAAAATGCTTATGTGATGGTACCTGCTTTTCCTTTAACATTTATGCAAATAAAATTTCATTAGTAGATTTTCGAAGCATTTTTCCTGTTTTATTTAAGGTGAATACTCTATTACATTTTTTTTAATATTTGAAAAATACAAAATGAGCTTTTCTTTATTTCTTTTTGCTGTATGAGGAACTAAGCCTATATCTAATACTCACAATTTCTTTTTGGTATTATTGACTTAACGAGTCACTTATCTCGTGCTATGGTTGCTTACCTCAGTGAGTGACAATAACCAAGCAAAAAAATATACAATTTTGTTCTTGAGAGCCATCCAGAGATTAGATATATGATAGTCGACATCCGCTTTGGGCAATAGGCAGTTATGTTAGACCAAATAAGAAAATAAGGTACATTCTAAATGTTGACAAGACAAGCATATATTACTAATGTTCATGCTAAGTGCGCTTTACATGGATGAAAAAAGAGTAGTGTTAATTCATATTATGGTTGTCCAATGTAAAGAGTAGTGGTGTCAAGCAAGCAAAATGTCCAAGCCAAGTCATGCAAAACTACGTTGGAGACTCTACCCGGTAAAAACCCCTTGAAAGCGTAACTTCATATGGGGGTTCAGGGGATTTAGTTAAATGGCGAATCAACATAGTGCAATTTGTGTATATGAGAGAGAGATCAAGGTGCACCTTGGGGCCCTTATATAGGGTGGTAAACTACTATTGAGCTTAGGGTTGTAGTTTATGTTGCGAACGGGTTACAGACATTGTCCGACCATAAATGAGATGAGGTCATGAGATTGTGCATCAAATCTGGGGATCACGGAGTAACGACTACATCGAGTAGGCCTCCATTGGTGCCACGCAATTCGTCTCATGGGTTCAGGTATCTTATGACACATCAACCAAAACAGTTGAGGTGTCGACAAAGTGATGATAAGATGTTGACCAAATAGCGGCGATGTATCGGTCAGGTGGTGACGATGTGCTGGCTAAGAGATGATGACATGTTAGCCATATGTTGATGAAGTGTGTCCACACGTTATCGTCCCCATATCATGGCAAATTTCACTTTACTCGTCTTTGATGCCATATGTTGATGAGGTGTGTGCACATGTTATCATCCCCATATCGTGGCAAATTTCAGTTTACTCGTATTTGATGGCATACATAGATGAGGTGTGTCCACATGTTATCGTCCCCATATCATGGCAAATTTCATTTTACTCGTCTTTGATGCCGTCGTTAATTGATCATGAATTTGTTAACGAGACCCAAATGGCGATTAACTAAACAAGAAACTTTTATGTCAAATTGTGAAAATCTATGTTTAAGTTGGGCATTTCCTTCTAGTGCTAGTTACTAAATGGAAAGGAATATCATTTAGTTGTTTTTTTTTCTTTTGAACAAAGATTATCTGCACCCATTATATTCTATTAGAAAGAACTAAGATTTTAAAATATTTTGCTCTAACTATTAGTGAGATTTATCTGTTTATTATTTGGCACTTTTAGGATCCCATGCAGATCGGGGATGTGTACGACACCGATACAAGTGACATCTTCACAATTGATCGCAAATGAAATATTCCCTCCATCTGTCGTGAAGGCTCTCCTGTACCCTGGAGCCGTCGTCCAGGGTCTCATTACCAACATGGCCTTGCCAAGCTGGAGCGGTTTGCTCGACATGTATAACCTGACAGAAGCGAAAAATGCAGCGCCAAATGTGGATCTCCAGCGTCTAGAGGTCCATCAGAGAAATGCAGTTAATATTCATTCTTGAATTTAACCTGATTTGGGTTGGCGTGTGTATCCAGGTTCTTGCAGGTAGCTACTTCTCCGTAGCAGGGGCACTAGTTGGTCTGATAAATCCCGGCAGGATGACCTTATTCGGAACACTTCTCATTGTTTGGGGCCTTGTGAAAGAAGGTGTGCTTGGAAAAGTAGCAAATGCAGATCTCTATGTCTACCCGACGATTCTGGTAGCACTAGTTTGTGCTTTCTCATCCATCAATTACAAGGCGAACAAGGCGGTGATGAGAGGTCAGGCTGCTGCAGCCATTGCTAAACCGTTGAAGAGTTCTGCCAAGTCGAAGCTTAAATAGTTGGGTTAGTTATTTGCTTCGGAGTTTGACTTTGAACATTCAAATCTCAGGTGCTGACTTTTGGAATCTGTTGTATCAGTAGTACGACAGACATGAACAACTTTCAGCTTAATTTAAATTATTGTTATATTTTACAAAAAAGATTAAAGCATCCCACATAATCTAATTCAGATGTTCGATCGAGTGGATCGTATTATGATTTATCTATTTTTATTGATACAGAGTGAATCACAGTTGTTGAAAATAGGTTCTAATTTGGCTTTTGTGATTTGTCCTTTGAAAAAAATAAATAATTAAAAACCTCTTAAATTTTATAGTGTTTTTTTTTCCTAAAAATGTTCCATTGAATTTATAAAAAGATCAAAAAAACTCGGATAGTATCGTCATAAAAATAAAATCGTGTTAGGGCTAAATCGATAGGACATTTTGAAAAGAACTGTAGTGAGTTTTTATTTTACAATCTTTTTGAATAGTTCAACAATTCAATAACTAAACTCCTTTCAAAAACGGATAATATTTTAGTGTTAATTATTATTTAATCAATAATAATAAATTATTATAATTCTTTTATTTTGATTAATCAATACCATCAACTCCTACAAACAAAACTATCATAAGAAAGTTACATTTTATCTTTTAAACTTCGGATATTATAATTTTCTTTGAGAAATTATCATATTTATAATGTTGATTAATATCATCATTTTAATAAACTTTATTTTATTTATTACTAACAAGGTTTTTGTTAATATAAAATTTTACTTTTTACTTATTCTTTATGGATTGTGGCATTCGTAATCATTTATTTTAAAACTTCTTTTTTGTTATCGTTAATCCGTATGGGTGACTTTGATACAAGGCATTGCATCTCATACATATTCTTTGTTCCCCGGCTTGTCTTTTATCATCATCCAATAAGGCCATAAGATATAAGATATGATGTTTTGTTCTCATCAGGGAAGAAAACGACATTATCTAAATTAATAACATGGCGTACTGTAACTTTGTTGCTGTCATCATTCATATATATATATTCTTGGTCATCTAGAATGCCTTCTGACATCCCAAAAACTATCGGAAAGGAAATTCGATATTTTATCAAACATATACTGCAAAAGGATGAGGGTTGTTTCGGAAGGGCTGGTATTGAAGTCGAATTCAATTGTGAAAGCCCATGATGCTTGCCTGACGTTTAAAAGAAAAAGTGACTCAGTTCAATTGGTACATATTAAAAATAAATGGCTACAATCAATCATCATGGTACATACACTAGAAAAACTAGTTTTAATTAAGAGATAATAATAATGGCTTAGTTTTGTTTCTGGTTTGCATTATATTATAATATGATGAGTTGTCGGGAGGTAAGCAAGGGTAATATAGAGATTGATGATGAATTTGCCAATACACCACATCTTTGGTTCTCAGCGCGTCCCTCCCAACCACGTTTCATGATGTATGTCAACTGCTCAGAGAGTTCACTATCGTCGTAGCTTAGGCTCAAAGTTGGGAGAAAACAACAAACGTAGCAAATACCTAAAATTGCAAGAATAACATATATAAAATTTGCATCGAGGGACAAAGCAAATACGATCATTCAATAATGTAGCTCACCAACGTCCAAATGCAAAACAGAAGAGTTTGCAGCGGATAGCGAGGCAGCCATTTTTTCTCGCTTCAAACACAACAGACCTCTAAATAGACAAGCAATATAAAGGTCTTGATTAAAGTGATGAAGCCCAAAGGCACTTAAATTACACAAACACAAAAAAAAACAATCGCGAAAGACGATGTCACATTTCACTAGCTGCTTTCCTCCAATGTTATTCATGTTTAGCACATCAAAATGTAAACAACTAAAAAACTTTGGCTGGTCACTCAAAACGTAATTCTATCATCAACAACAGGAGCCATCAAACACTACAACACTTGTGCCCATTATCAAAAAAAAATGAGACTAATAAATATTGATCATAATTACCTCTTGATATCAGTGTATTTGTTAGATGATCATTTACCATAATTTACCCACTACTTAATCGGTAATGTTCAATTAGGTAAAAGTCAAATGGCTAATAGTTGATCAGTACGAAACCAGTCCATCGAAGCAAGTAAAAGAATGATCCAGAAGAAAAAAAATCGCTGATGAAACTAGTAAATGGCAGTCATCAGACTCCTAACGAAAACGATAGCATAGAATAAAAATACTCAGTCCCTTAGATGCTCTTCAGGCATTGTGTCTGCTATCATGTCCGCAGAATCATTACAGGTCTGTAGGATCATCACAGTTGTCTAATCTTCCAAACGAGCAGACATTAGATATCTGGTATTAAATAATAATTCGGATCAAAATAAAGGGAAAACAAACAGCTCGCGAAGCGTAAACGACGACAGATACTCAGACATAGAACGTGTCAATCGATCTCCCCAACCCCGAAGATAGGCTGAAACAATCCACAGGAATGGAATACAAAAGGACAGATCGAATGAAAGATCTTAATGTAGCTTCAAGGGAACGAGCCAAAGAGCATAAAGGAGAAAGCTCATCGACCAGATTAAGAAGCATAGCCAGAGTACGAAACCAGTCCATCAAAACAAGTAAAAGAATGATCCAGAAAAACAATCGAGGATGAAACTCGTAAAAGGTAGTCATCAGACTACCACAGAAAATGATAGCATAGAATAAAAATACTCAGTCCCTTAGATGTTATTCAGCATTATATCTGCGATCATATCCGCAGAATCATTACAGGTCTGTAGGATCATCACTGTTGTCTTATCTGCCAGACGAGCAGACATTAAACATCTGATATTAAATAGTAATTCAGATCAAAACAAAGGGAAAACAAACAGTTCGCGAAAGTAAACGACGAAAGATAGTCAGACTTACAGCGTGTCAATCGATCTCCCCAACCCCGAAGATAGGCTGAAACAATCCACAGGAATAAAATACAAAAAGGACAGATCGAATGAATGATCTTAATGTCGCTTCAAGGGAACGAGCCAAAGAGCAAAGAGGAGAAAGCTCATCGACCAGATTAAGAAGCATAGCCAGGAAAAAAGAAAGATAAGATCTCATTAAAAGATATTCAAAATGGGTGTCAGATGAAAAAAAATTCGAACTAAATGCTTCCGTTAGTTCGGAAAAATCATCAAATATAAAAGGTAAAGATCATAAAGAAGCGTTAGGGAGTTGCAGGTGATTAACTTGCTAGCGAGGCTTTCGACAACCAACTCGTTGACGTCGTAACTGGTGACTCTTCGAACGATCTCTTAGACGACGATGTCGCCGTAAAAGAAACCCCAGTTCTGCTTCTCTCCATCTGCAGATTTAGAAGGAAGATTGGAGGGGGAGACACGAGGAATATTAGAGAGAGGATTTAACCAGAGATGGCCGAGTAGAAGAGCCGACGGCGGTATGTGTATCGGCGAACGGGCAACGCTGGTGAAACTGACACCGAGTCCCACTTATTTATAGGCAGGAAGACGACCTCCGAGTCACATCGACGGCCGAGATATTTCATTGTTAAGCTTCGACGGTGAGGATGAATACCAGGTAAAACCCTAATTGATCAGTTGAGTGCGGCTCGCAGGGTCGGGTTGGGTCGGTCCGTGAGGATGTTGTGGGCTTTTAGCCTGCTTCGTCGGGGGCGGCCGAACACTTGGGACGGTCCGTGAGGGACGACCGTTCGAGCTCTCAAATTTCTAGTGCAGTGAGAACAGGTTTAATAGTGTCGACGTCGATTAATGGGGCCGCTGGGATGGAAAATTAACCAGCACCAACTTCATGTCCTATAAGAGATTGAGTACTCTACCCACGTGCCTGAAATCAATGCTGAATTGACGACATCACCATGACAACAAAATTGAAGGACTTTGATTTGCAGACATAATACATTAGAAATTAAGATTTAATGTCAGAAATTTAGTTGTGATGTGACTATCAAGACTCAGCATCTTGATAGGGGATATTACTGTCACCTGGCACTCTCATCAATTATGAGAGAGAAAATAAAAAAATTTTTTCATTATTTATGATAAAAAAGATAATTATTTTTTTTTTTTATTGATGAGATGGATAATCACAGCCTACCCTTTAAAATCAGATATAAAAATTAATCTTTCAAACAAAAAATAATATTTTTCTTATATGGTACAATCAATAAAATAAAAACTTTATAAGTTTACTCACGTTCAGTATTGAGGTAGATAAATTATTAGGAGCAAGATTTATCACAAAGGTATAGTACCCACAATGGGCTCGCTAATATTGTACTTATTAAAAAAATCTAATGAAAGTTTTAAGAATGTGTGTTGATTATATCGACATCAATAAAGTATGTCTGAAGGATAGTTATCCTCTTTCTCGTATTGAACAATTGGTCGATACTATCTCGGGTTATGAGCTCCTCACTTTTATGGATGCATTATTAGGATATAACCAAATAAGGATGATACCATAGCATTAACCTTGGGATCGACGGAGATTGTAGCTGATCCTATTTTAGCTTTTTGTGTATCTCTTTGCATTTACCTATTGAATGACCCACTAGAGTATTTCAGATAACGTCATTGGTAACCTCTCTACCAACGATCAAAAAAGACAAAGGACTTGAGTCCTATCATGAATGTCTATATGATAAGTGATAGGTGTACATCTTGCACTACTCAGATCTGGTTAGTAAATTGAGCGAGGAAGTCCGAGAGCGTCTCCTCCTCCCTTTCCTAAGAAGTATTGCTATTGATGATTCCAAGTATATAGATCTGATAATACACTTCCTTTATCATTAGCTAAGGCAAGTATTGCTATCAAGTCGTGTTATTCGGGTTGAAAAATACAAGAGCAACATGCTAAAAGATGGCAAAAAAGATACTCAAGCACTAGATTAGAAAGAATATCGACTTATATATAGATAATATGATAGTCAAAAGCAAAACGGTTGATTCACATTTAACAAATTTAGTCGAGATATTAGAAGTTATAAAAAAATTCAACATGCACCTCAATCCAACCAAATATATTTTCGGAGTCAGTTCGAGAAAGTTCATCGGATTCATTACTCACTAAAAGGGAATTGATGCAAACCCTGAAAAAATTCGAGTGATATTGGAGATGCGCCCACCTCGGTTAATAAAAGAAATCCAACAGTTAATAAGATGAATAGTATCGCTCAATCTATTTCTATCCCAATCAAGTGATAAGTGTGTTAGGATCAATATGACTAAGAGGGGGGGGGTGAATTAGTGCAGCGGAAAACTTTCTGCGATT